GGTTTCCCGTAGGAAGGAAAAGCAAATCGTGAGAGGTTCCTGCAACTCTCAGCCAAAAGACTCGGACACCTGAATGAAAAGATAATTCTCTGTGGTTTACTCACCACAATTACGTAAATACAGAAAGTCCAAGTGGACACATTCACACGGAAAATTGGAACTTCCCCCCTCCACCCCCGACACCAAATCACCAGGCTCCAAGGGCTCCAAAGGGGTCTACGAAGAAAATTATATAATCGTCTCCATACGTGGAAAAGGAGATTTATATCCTCATTTTTATGAATAAATTGGAAAAAACAGCGTCTCAGTGGGCACACTTTTGGCGATTCTGCCAAAGTCAGGAACAAGACCAGACCATGCATGACTGTCACCCCTGCTGTCTTACCGGGGACGCCACCAAGCGCAGGGACACATGCACGTGCAGCACTTGGAAAGGAAGAGGCGAAACCGTCTCCAGTGCAGATCGTGGTTCCGGTGAAATCCAGGCAATGGACTGAGCAACTGCTAGAGCAATCAGAGAATTCACTAAGGTCAGGACGTGAATTAACAGAGCAAGATCGGTAGTCTTCACAGCAACGATGGCCAGGTAGCAGACAAAACAGAAATAAGAAACACGGGCCGGGCGCGGTGGCTCACGCCTGTAATCTTAGCACTCTGGGAGGCCGAGGTGGGAGGATCGCTCAAGGTCAGGAGTTCGAAACCAGCCTGAGCAAGAGCGAGACCCCGTCTCTACTAAAAATAGAAACAAATTAATTGGCCAACTAAAAATATATATAGAAAAAATTAGCTGGGCATGGTGGCGGGCGCATGCCTGTAGTCCCAGCTACTCGGGAGGCTGAGGCAGCAGGATTACTTGAGCCCAGGAGTTTGAGGTTGCTGTGAGCTAGGCTGACGCCACGGCACTCTAGCCTGGGCAACAGAGTGAGACTCTGTCTCAAAAAAAAAAAAAAAAAAAAAGAAGAAGAAGAAACACGCACACCCATGCACAGGAAGCTGTAACCCAAAAGGTGCGAAGGTCGACCCAGACAGGTCAGCAACCAGGGCGTGTTTCGGGACCGGAGACTCTGACTCTGTGTGGTGAAGATGTCAAGTCCCCGTAAGTTAATTTATAACTAGAACACCACAGGGCCTGGACAAATCTATTTCAAATTTCCACATGGAAAAATAAACATGGAGAGTCAGGAAAATCCTGGACGGGGGAGCAGGGCGGGTGGGGACTCCCCAGCGGACGTCAGGAGCACGGAACAGCGTCCGTGCTGGGAGCCGGGGCTGGTGCGCAGCTCGGCTGAGGCCGGGAAGATTAAAGATCCAGCACTAGACCCGGGTACCTGCATAAGCTCGTGTGACGGCAGCCCCTGGAGTCGGGGAAATGTGGACTTTTCAAGACATGGCTTTGTCAGCCATGTGGCTAGGTGAACTGGGTCCCCACGCCACGTGTACGCTGTAGGGTGCACGCCAACAGGCCCTGGTCCACGTGTCACGTGTGGGTCACGGGAGGGCTGGGAGGGAGTGTGGAAGTGCCGATCACGTGGGCCTGGGGGCTCTGTCAGTGGAGACATGACTGAGAAATTACATTAAAATACGAATGTCCTGCATGGCTCTCCCGCCCCGCACAAAAATAGCAAAATTGAAATCGGGAACAAACACTTGCGGGTTGTCTCGAATGGCCAGTCGACTCGATGTGCAGTTTCCAGAAACGGAGAGAAAAGCCAGGAGCAGAGCCGTGGCCGAGCCGTGCATGGGTCTGTCTCGGGGGGGGGGGGGGGCTCACACGCGTGCTCAGCCTCATGTGCAGAAAGGGGGTGCAGCCAAAGCCCTGGAATGATCTCCCCACCGACAGGAGGACAGGAGCCCCGAGCTCCGGCCGCTTGTTCTGTTGGTGGGTTTGGGGGGTACCCGGGTGTCCGCTGTGGCCACGTGCGAAACGGTCCGGCCCTAACACGCCGTGAGTCCCGTGATCTGTGCCAAAGCCGCACACGCGTGCAAGGGCAGGAAGGAAAGGGCTGGTGCTGTTGGACCACCCTCGGTCCTTCAGGGTGGGAGTCCCCCAGCCCGAGGCGGGAGGTGCCTGGGGGGAGGGGCCCCGGTGGGCTGGGGCTTCGCGGCAGTGGCCGAGGGACCTGGTGTGTGACAGTCACGGCAGGCGCTGTGGACTTTGGCTTTGCGCAAGTCCCTTGCTGTGCCTCAGTTTCCACAAGGTGAGAGACGCTGAACCAGAGTCCAGCCGCCTCCCGAGCTGCCAAAGGGTCTGTGTCCGAGTGAGAGCCAGGGCTGTGGTGGCCCCTCGCTCCCTGCTGCCTGGAGTCTCTGGAGACCCCCAGGGTGTTGGGGGGGGGACCCGTGGCAAGGTGAGGTTGGGGAGAAGTCCCGGCCTAGGCTCTGGGGCAGGGCCCACACCTCACAGCCCCCTGGACCCATGTGCAGGCCTGGGGTGAACAGGAGGGACCTGCGCCGGGTGGGAGGTGGGGAAGGGGGTCCCGTGGAGAGTGGGTAGGACAGAGGCCGGCACCCCCCTCCCCAGGACCCCCGCAGCCCTCCAGCCCTGGACTCACTCTAGGGCAACTAACGGCCCCTTCCCAGCCAGCCTCAACCCTCTACTCAGCTCCTGCCTCGCTGGGGGCCGCAGGCCCGGGTGAGGGGCTTCACCACCACCCCCTGGGGGGCACCACAGAGCTGCCAAGCCCACCACAGCGAGGGGCAGGTGTGCGGCTCCCACGGTGGGGAGGGAGCTGGGGTCTGGGAGAACAGGCTGGTGGCTCCTGGGGGCTGGAGGTCGGGGGTGGGCTGTGGGGTCTCTCACTTCCTGCCGGGCTGCTGGTTGCTGCCTAGTTGGGCGTGTCCTGGGCAGCAGGCTGTGTGGGGCTCCTTGTCCACCCAGAACGAAGTGTCCATGGCACTTCCTGTGGCCCGGCCTTTGGCCACACTGCGAGCTGGGGTGTCCCCACCTTGTGCCCTCACATCCTGCAAGTGAGGCCTCCTGTGCCCCCGGCCCACTTCAGCCCAGCCCTGACCCTGCCCTCCCATCTGGAGCTCAGAACCCGACAATAACAGCCTCGAATTTCTTTCTCTGGAGGCTGGGTCAGCTCAGATCCCGCCAGCCCCCACCCTGCCTGCAAACCCTGGCGGAGGGCAGAGGCCGCGCCCAGCGCTGGGATGGAAGCCTGGGCTCCCGGTGCCTGCCACGTCCACCAAGGCCTGGCTCTGGGTCCTTCCAGGGCACCTTCCCGCGGGGTGGGGGGACCCCAAACCCCTTTGGGTCGCCTGGGCACACTTCTTAGCCTGGAAATGCAGGGCCTGGCGAGGGGCCTTTTGGGCTCAATCTTGTTGGATCTGGCGGCCCAGCCAGACTGGAGACCTGGTTTGCTCCAAGTCTGCGGCCAGGGGTGCCACGGACGGCGACCCCAAAGGGCAGCACCTGGTCTGGGTGGTGGGGGATGGGCACCGGACAAACACCCCGGCTCTGAATCTCCCTCCTGCCTGGGCGTGGAGCACACGCAGCACATGCCACACAGGCACACGCAGCACACGCCCCACACGAGGCACACGCCGAACACACAGCACACACGGCACACATTGTGCATTCAGCACACGCCGCACACGAGGCACACGCAGCAGGAGGCACATGCAGCACACTCGGCACATGCCACACACACCGCACACGCTGCACACGTGGCACACGCCACACATGCAGCACAGGAGGCACATGCTGCACACAAGGCATGCGCTGCACATGCAGCACATGCACATGTGGCACACTTCGCACACACTGCACACGTGGCACATGCTGCACATCCAGCACACGCAGCACACGCAGCAGAGGCACACGGAACATGCTGCACAGGAGGCACACGCTGCACACGCGGCACACACTGCACACGTGGCACATGCTGCACAGGCTGCACATGCCGCACATGAGGCACACGCCACACACGCAACACACTCAGCACACACTGCACACACAGCACATGCTACACACGCGGCGCACTCGGCACATGCCGCACACGGCACATGCCACACACACAGCACAGGAGGCACACACCACACACGCCGCATGCAGCACACTCGGCACACGTGGCAGGGGCTTCAACCCATCGGAAACACGACTATGGAGAAGAGTGAAAACTTTTATTAGGAAAAATCACCAACATGGACACGGTCGAGAAAAAACACAGGAAGGAGTAAAAATAAAACTAACATATAGAGGGTCTTCGATAAGATGGAGAACAGACCATGGTTTTGAGGAAAAAAGAGCTCTGGATTGTTTTTAATAAAATACACCGGTTTGTGCCACCAAACGGCTCCGTGTCCCTGGGCATGGACAAGCACCATTACTCGAGTTTGAGCGCAGCCACTGTCCCCACCGTCCTCCGAAGACGCCCAGACCGCGGCCACCGGCGCAGACCTCGTAGGGAGGGTGGATCACTGAGATTTACGTTGAAAAGTCCTCCTGACCTTGGCTTTCCAAAACCGAGACAGAGCCCCGGCCTCGCGTGCGCTGACCGGTAGGGTTTGCTTTGGCTCTAGGTTGCAGGGCGACGTCCGCGGAACGGCGGAGGGGCAGCCACTTGGGGCCAAGGACATGGGGCGGAGGGGCAGCCACTTGGGGCTGCGGACCTGGGGCGGAGGGGCAGCCACTTGGGGCCGCGGACCTGGGGCGGAGGGGCAGCCACTTGGGGCCACGGACCTGGGGCGGAGGGGCAGCCACTTGGGGCCGCGGACTTGGGGCGGAGGGACAGCCACTTGCGGCCGGGGACCTGGGGCGGAGGGGCAGCCACTTGGGGCCAAGGACATGGGGCGGAGGGGCAGCCACTTGGGGCCGCGGACCCGGGGCGGCGCAGAGGAGCCTGGAGGTGCGGACGCCGCCGTGAGTGGGACGTCCTGGCGGGGAGGCGCGAATCCCAGCCCAGCCGAGGACGCAGAGGCCGCGCCCGGATGGGCCAGGCCGTGTGTGTCGTGGCTTTTCAAGCTTTTCCTTTGAAACCAAATCTAGCTGATGAGGCTGGTCGGGAAAACTCGGGTCACATTTCACTTCCTGTTTGGGGACGGGGTGGGGAGGCGCTGGCGGCGGTGGTGGCGCGCCCGCTAGCCCAGCGCCACCTTCCTGGAGACGGTCTGGTAGAAGACGCCCCGCAGCAGGGCCTGGTAGCTGGGCACGCGGAACAGGTGGCGCTCGCCGAAGGCCACGTCGTACTCGGCCGTCTTGCCGGTGACCAGGACGCGGACGTGCGGCTCGTTCACCTGGCGGCCGACCGCCACCACGAAGATCTCGAGGCCCGCCCGCTGCGCGTCCTGCACGGCCTTCTCGATGGCCGCGGCTGTGGCGCCCTGCGAGTTGCCGTCGGAGAAGAGCAGCAGCCTCTTCTTGGCCGGGCCGGGCGAGGCATCGCGGTAGAAGCGGGTCACGTAGCTCAGGGCGTCGGTGACGTCCGTGGCGTCGTTGAGGAAGGCCATGCCGTCCACGACGCTGGCCAGCACCGTGTAATTCTGCACGAACTGCAGCGCCGCGCGCTCCGGCCTCTGCTGGCCGGTGCCGCTGTACTGCACCACCGAGACGCGCACGTCCTGGGAGGGGTCGGCCCTGCCCGCGCTGAGGAAGCGCTCCGCCAGGCGCTTGGCGAAGCGCTTGGTGATGTCGAAGTTGTGGCTGCCCACGCTGGCCGAGCCGTCCAGGAGGATGGTGATGTCGGCCGGGGCGGAGAAGGTGACTGCAGGGCAGGGGGCCGTTAGCGCGTGGCCCCACGCAAGCTCAGCTGCCCCAGCGCCTCCACGCCGGTCACTGTGGAGTCTCCGCCCGGCCAGAGCCACGCGGGCTCCCGCCCCCCAGCACCCAGGTGACCCCGCCCCGGCCAGGCCAGAGCCCTACGCACTCGCCCCGCCCAGCACTCAGGAGACCCCGCCCCGGCCAGGCCAGAGCCTCACACGCTCGCTCCGCCCAGCACTCAGGAGACCCCGCCCCGGCCCCATGCAAGCCCCGCCCAGCACTCAAGTGACCCTGCCCCGGCTAGAGCCCCGCCCAGCACTCAGGCGACCCCGCCCCGGCCCCACACAAGCCCCGCCCAGCACTCAGGAGACCCCGCCCCGGCTAGAGCCCCGCCCAGCACTCACTCGGGCAGGTGTAGTCCGGGCACTTCTTATCTGCAATAGAGAAAGCCCAGGGTGAGCCCAGCCACGCCACGTGGCCCCACTGGGAGGGGCCGCTGAGCATCTGGATGGCAGGCGCAGGTACAGCCACGCCTGGGCGACCGCCTAATACCCGCGGGGAGCTGTCCAGGATCCGCCCCGCCCCTGCCCCCTACTTGGCCCCTCCAGCCTCCACAACACCAGAGGGGACCTTCCAGGGTGACAGTGGCCCCAGCACTGTCCTGGTCCTCACTCCAACCCAGCGTTGGCCCCTTCTGGGAATGGAGAAACTGAGGCTCAGAGGAGGGAAGGATGGTCTGCAGGTCAGAGGCCTGCACCACAGCTGCCGACCACATGCCCATGGCGCGGCAGGTCTCTCCGGCTGCCGACCCGCCGCCTGGCCCGCCTGGCCGTGGCGCGTGTTCCCAAGCGGCCCCGCGGGCTCCGCGGCCAGCTCTGGCCCCGGCGAGCAGGCGTGTCCCCGGCTGCACAGGCGGGGCCGGGACGCGGCCCGCACATCCCGCGGCCGCCCGGTGCCCACCTATGCAGATCTGCGCCGTGATGTTCTTGAGGAAGGCGTCCTCCAGCAGCTCCGCGTAGTTCTCCTTGACCAGCGAGAGGCCGGGCCGGGCCTGCGGCGACGCCCCGGGTTGGCAGGAGATGTCGTTGAGCTGGTCGGAGCTGGGGACGAAGTCGAACACGTCCTTGATGCCCACGGAGACCACCTGCGGAGGACACGGATGGCGTCGGCGGCGGCTCTGGGGGCCCAGGTGCCCGGTGCGCGCGTGGGAGCCGCGCGGCGCCGCCCACCTGGATGTCGGGGCCGCAGAGCACGTTGAGGGGCGTGGTGTCACGCTGCGTGTCCGAGCGCCCGTCCGTGATCACCAGCGCGATGCGCGTGTTCTGGGTGGGCGGCAGCAGCCGGTCCCGCGTGTACTGCAGAGCCTCGCCCGTGAACGTGCCGCCCGCCATCCACTGCAGCTTCTTGATGGCTCTGCGCAGGGGGAGGTCAGAGGTCAGGGTCAGGGGTCAGGATGGGCTGTTGGAGACGCCTGCGCCCATGGGCTGCGCGCGCGGCACACTCACTCCTTGAGCTCCTGCGCGTTCCTGATGTTGGGGCTCCGCAGGTCCACGTGCTCCTGCATCTGGTTGTGGCTGTACTGCACCACGCCGGCGTGCGACTGCCCCGGCTCGAACTGCGCACGGACACGGCGTCGGCCCGCGCACTGCGCACGGCGCCCCAGGGGCGACTCCCATGACCCTGGGTCTCCCGGGAACTCGGGGACCGGCCACACAGCCGTGCTGGTTGCCTGCGGGCGGCCGAGTTGACGGGCCTCTGGGGCTGCCTCACCTTGACCAGCTCGTCCCGGCTCAGCCGGTCGATGACCCTGGTGATGAAGTCCTTGGCGATCTCGAAGTTCTGCAGGCCGATGCTCTCGGAGCTGTCCAGCACGAACAGGATGTCGATGGGGCCGCACGTGCACTCTGCGGGGGGGGCGGGGCGCTCAGAGCAGGGGTGCAGCCCTCCCTCCCGCACGGACAGACAGGGCCGCCCGCCCAGGCCCCTCCACGCGCCCGCTGCCCCAGGCCTCACTGGGCTCTGGGACCCGGGCCGCGGGAGGCGGAGGGGCGGAGGGAGCGGCAGGGGCTGAGCCCAGCCCCGCCCACCGCGCCGGCCAGGGTTGCGGGGTTGGGCAGTGGCGGGCGGCGGAGGGACTCATGCAGGATTCCACCGCCCACAGGAGCTATTCTGCCTAAAGATTTGAAGTAGACGTTTCCTGAGGTCGGCGGTGGCACTCACCACAGCAAGCTGGGGAAAGAGAAAGGAAACGACAGGACCGTCAGGACCCCCGGTGCCGTCAGAAAGACGCGCGCTGCCCCTCCCCTGCCCCAGGTCGTCCCCACCCGCGGGAGCCGGGGCCCTGGCGTGTCCCAAGCTGGGGGACCCCGGAGCAGGGCGGCTGCAGGGCCGCGGTCTACCCGCAGCCGGACACTCACAGCACATCTTCATGATGATGTCCAGGATCTCGCACTCCTAGGGACGGAGGGATGCGGGGCTGACACACGGCGGGCGCCTCCCAGCCGGGCTGGCCCGGTCTCCCCCACCCCAGGGCCACCGCCAGGGACGCTCGCTCCCAGGTGCGCCCGGCCTGCCCTCAGACTCTGCAGGGGCAGGCGCCCGACATGGCCACAGACGTGGCTGTCACACGTGCCCCCGGCTGTCACGAGGCCCCATGTCCTCCTTCCACCAACACCCCCATCTGCGGGACCTTTCACGGACAGGACCCCCACCCCAGCCCCAGCACGCGCCCGAGGATGTTTGCAGACCCACTTACGTCCGGCCCGGGTGGTCCCACGTGTCCCGGGGGTCCCTGTCCAAGAGACCACGGTGAGGGTCTAGGCTGAGGCACCCACTGCACTTCCAGAACAGAGTCTGTGGGAGCCCCTGCCCAGACCCCCGGCCGCCACCTCCATGTGCCTGAGGGTCCCACGAGACCCTGCAGCTACCATGCTCTGGGCAGCAGGCGGTGGTCGGGCCCGAGGACGGCGTCTGCCCCGGCTGGGCTCTGCTGTCCTCACTCTGGGGACCGGCTGCAACCCTCCAGGCCACCTGTCCACGGCCCAGCCTCCCAAACTGCCCCCAGCTCACCAGATTCGTCACCAGCCCAGGGGGCCACGTCCACCCACCTGGGGGCCTTCGGGGCCCCGGTACCCCTTCGCTCCTTTGGCACCTCGGGGCGAGACGTCGTTGTTCTGGAAGGAGACGGCACTGGATCAGCAGGCACGGCGGGGTCTGTGCACTGCCGTCAGCCCTGGGCGCTCGTGCGTCCCCAGAGGAGCCCAGCAGCTGGACACCCTCCCCCTGCCTGGTCTACCCCTGCACCTGGCACCCCCCCTGATCCCCCCTGCCTAGACCCCCCAACCTGGTCGCCCTGCCACCTTGCCCCGCCTGGTCCCCACGCCTAGCCACCGCTTCCACACCTGGACCCACAGCCTGACTCACACCTGACTCCATGCTAGTCCATTGCTGCAGCCTGTACCGCGAGACCACTGCATGGACCCACACATGATCCCTTGTCGTGACCCCCCACCTGGACCCTCTACCTGGCTCCATCCTGAACCCCCCAGCCTGGTCCCCCATGCCTGGCCTCCACACCTGGCCTCCCCACACCTAGTCCCCCACGCTTGGCCCCTCCACACCTGAACCCCCCCAGCATGGTCCCCCACACCTGGACCCCCACACTGGCCTCCCCATGTCTGGACCCCCTACGCCTGGACTCCCCACACCTGGACCCCCACACCTGGCCTCCCACACCTGGCCTCCCCATGTCTGGTCCCCCCACGCCTGGACCCCCGCCCTCGGGGAGGCTGACTGTGGCTGGCGGCTCTGCCCCGCCCTCTGCACTCACGTCGTCTCCAGGGTCCCCAGCTTCGCCCTCGTCCCCCTTGAGGCCCGGGTAGCCCTTGGTGCCCTGCGGGGACAGAGCCCTTGGTTAGCGGATCGCTGTGGCTTCCCTTCTCCTTACTAAGCAGGTTTGAAAGGGAGAAATAAAGACGAGGGGACCCTGACCCCGCGCCCGCCCACGCACACGCTTCCTGTGAGAGGCTGTGGTCGGAGCCGGCCGGGGCCCTCGGAGGTTTGGGGGACACTCGGTGTGGGCTCGGGGACTGGCCCACCCCATGTGGCCGGCGGGGGCACCGTCACCGGGCGGGCACTCGCAGACCCCACCTCGGAGGAAACATGCGTGTAGTGACCTGTGTCTGTGCTTGTTCCGTGTGCATGTGTGTGTGCACACGCCACAGCCGCACGGGGCGGGTACTCACGTTTATCCCGGGAGGGCCCCTGCTGCCCGGGTAGCCCTGTGGGCGGGAGGCGGGCGGTTACTCCGGGCTGGCAGGGAGGGGTTGGGGACTCGCACCCGGCCCCGAGGGAGCCCGGCTGGCCCGAGAGGCTGCTGCGGCAGCCGGGGTCCTGGGAGGGCGGCCCTGGGCACTTACGGGGAATCCGGGGAATCCCTCGGTGCCGTTTCCCGGGGGGCCGTCTTCACCCTGGGAGCAGAGCAGAGCAGCCGTCACTGCGCGAAGCGCCCGGGATGCCCCGGGTGAGCGGGGCCCAGGGGTGCCGTGCCTGTCTGTCAGGCCCCCGGCCCTCCTGGAGTGGGGCCCAGGGGTGCCGTGCCCGTCTGTCAGGCCCCCGGCCGGCCTGGAGCGGGAGGGCCTGGCCGAGGCGTCCGGAACCGGAGTGAGACCAGGACTCGGCCATGCTGGGGGAAACGCCCGTCCCGGCAACCGGGCCCGGCCACGCCCTCCCCCGTGGCTGGGCCCCGGGGCTGTGCTCTGGACACTCACCCTTTCGCCCATCAGCCCTGGGTCTCCGGGGGGCCCGGCGGGTCCTGGGGCTCCTCTGGGGCCCTGGGGAGGAGAGGCGATGGGGCCGTGAACGCCAGGCCCGTGGGGGCCCCCAGTGCAGGAGGGCTCGGGAGTGGGGGGCAGGGATTCCGGGATGAGGGGCCGGTGCTGGGTGAGGGATGTGCTGGGGGCACCCAGGGCAGGAGGGCGAGGGAGTGGGGGCAGGGAGTCTGGGGTAAGGGGCTGGCACTGGGTGAGGGATGTGCTGGGGGCCCCCAGGGCAGGAGGGCGTGGGAGTGGGGGACAGTGAGTCCGGGATGACGGGCCAGCAATCGGGGACCTCAGGGCCCCCCCACGGGCAGGAGGTGGGTTGGGGGTGCTCACCTCAGTCCCGGGGGGACCCTCGTCGCCACGGTAACCTTTAGCTCCAACGGGGCCAGCCTCGCCCTGTGGGGGGGGACACACCCAGTGGGCGCCAGCCCTCGCGGGTCCCTCAGGCCCAGCCTGCCCGGCCTCAGCGCTGCCCTCCCCGCGTGAGCAGAGGGCCCTGCCGGCCCGGGGGGAGACCAGGCCCACCTAAGGCACCGCGTGCTGTGTTTAGTGGCCACGTAACCCAAAACACAAATGGGAACACAAAGGGCGATTCCTGTCTGTGCACAGAAATATAAGCGTGACTTGGGAAGGCCGCTTCGATCCCCGGGCCTGAGGTCGCCTCTCGTGTGTGACAACGTCAGAAATAGCGGCCCTTCCCTGACCTGTGCTCGGTGGCTTGGTGGCCCCGCACAGCGGCCTGTCCACAGACGCACAGACCTTCACCGTCACCAGGTGTGACTGCCCAGAGCCTGCCCTGCCCGAGTGCGGCAGGCCGGCCTCGAACGTCACAGCTCCCGGCAGGACACCTACCGCGAAGTCACAGCAGTGGCATCATCAGAACTGAGGGACAAGCAGCCAGGCGTGAGGCATGCAACAGCGGTTCAGAAAGAGGTCACAGAGAGAAGGGATTTAAAATCTGATGAAGGCGCGTCTTGCCCCCTGCAGATGGTGTCTGCAATGGCTGGCGCTGTGGCAGCCGGGGCCACCGTCCAGTTGAGCCCAAGCCCGCCTCACCTGCAACCCCCAATACGCGTCCCAAGCAAATAAAAGGCACAGCATGAAAACGGAACACAAGGCTGAACGCGTCTGCACTCTTGTAAACGAGCAGAACACTCTAAACAACGGTGCCACGCAGAGTAAGACACGCGGATGACGAATTTGGAAAGATATCTGCATCAAGGGAAAGAGCCCACGCGCCAGCACGAGAAGAGAATCCGGCGGGGAAACGGGCAGGGCACGTGGACAGCCAGGAGAGCCTGCAGCGGGCGCGTGTGCCTGGCTGCCGCATGTCAGGCAGGTGACACAGGACACAGTGTCCCCCCAGGAGCACGAACACACGGTTGAGGTTCGATAGCATCTCCTGTGGGGGAAGGTGTGTGTGCAGGCTCTACTTTCTGCTCTTAGTGGGGGAATCGAAACGTGGATGTGCCATCAAATTTCCACAAGACCTTAGTGTTTCTTTGCACCTATATATTTATATATTTATGTAGATATATTAATTTTGCAAGTAACAAAACCACTCACACACACACTCACACACACCACCACCTTAGTATTTGGTACCAGTGAACAATTTTGCCTGCTATAGAGAATTTTCCAAAGTTACATTTTTATCTTGAAGTACCAGCCTGGATCTGGATAGGGTAATTGTACACCTAGATGTACCGATGGATTAAGAAGATTTTGGATGATGCATAATATAGATTAGGGCCGCCTCTGATATTCGATAGTATATGAATTTTGTGGTTTAGTGGGTTGGATTGGATTTCGTTAGAGTGTTAAGATCTTTAGGGCTGTGTTGGGCTGAATGGTAAATATTGTGTGGGTATGGGTATATAGTTATAACTTGTGGGTGCCGGGAAATTGAAGGAGGAAATGTGGCCAATTGTTAGTGAGTGTTGTGTTAGAACTTGGCTATAAGGTGTACGTGGTGAGTATAGGTTGAGTAGAGAGAGTAAAGTGGAGTATGGAGTGGGATTCTGTGATGGTGTGTGTTTGGAAAGTCGGTCGTGTAAGATTGCGCGTTGTATTTTGTGGGTCGCAACTTGGAAATGCAATAATTACTGTGGTGTATTGGGTTGTTGGAAATGGAAGATTAGATAAATAATGGGACGGTTTGGAATGGTGTTGCGATGTTGTATGGTTTATAAATTTTCTGGTGTAGCGAGAGAATGGGTGGGTAGGTGGGTAGAATGGGAAGAGTAGATGGGAGGTGGGTAGGATGGTAGGTGGTGATGGGTGGGTAGGTGGGTGATGGTGGGTAGGGGTGGGTGGATGGATGGGTAGGTGGTGGATGTGGGTAGGTGGGTGGATGGGTGGGTAGGTGGAGATGATGGGTACGGTGGTGGATGGATGGGTAGTGGGTGGATGGATGGGTAGGTGGGTGATGGTGGTAGGTGGGTGGATGGATGGTAGGTGGCGTGGGATAGATGGGTGGATTAGGTGGGTATGGATGATAGGTGGGTAGATGGAAGATAGATGGGTAGGTGGGTAGATGGATGGGTAGGTGGTGGATGGATGGGTAAGGTGGGTGGTGTGGAGTGTGATGGTGGTAGGTGGTGGGATAGATGGTGGGTGATGGGTGGATAGGTGGGTGGATGGATGAGTAGGTGGGTAGATGGAAGATAGATGGGTAAGTGGGTAGATGGATGGGTAGGTGGGTGGATGGATGGATAGGTGGGTGGATGGGTGGATAGGTGGGTGCATGGGTGGGTAGTCGGTGGATGGAGGAGGGTAGGTGGATGGTGTAGGTGGTGGATGATGGATAGTGGGTTGGTGGATGGTGGGTAGGTGGGTGGATGAGGTAGTGGGTGGATGGTGGATAGTGGGTGGATGGATGAGTAGGTGGGTAGATGGACAATAGTATGGTAAGGTGGGAGAGTGGAAGATAGATGGGTTAGGTTGGGTGAATGGATGGTAGGTGGTGATGGATGGTAGGTGGGCGATGGAATGGGTAGGTGGGTGGATGGTGGGTAGGGTGGATGGGGTAGTGGGTGAATGGATGGGTAGTGGGGATGAGGGTAGGTGGGTGATGATGGTAGGTGGGTGATGATGGGTAGTGGGTGATGATGGGTAAGTGGGTGATGGGTGGGTAGTGGGTGGGAGTGGGTGGGCTAGTGGTGATGGCATGGGTGGTGGGTGGATGATGGGGTAGGTGGGTGATGGATGGGTAGGTGGGTGATGGATGGGTAGGTGGTGATGATGGTAGTGGGGTGCATGATGGTAGTGGGTGGAGTGGTGGTGGGTGATGGATGGTAGTGGGTGATGATGGGTAGGTGGGGTGGGTGGTAGGTGGGTGATGGGTGGGTAGGTGGGTGAGGAGGGTAGGTGGTGGATGGAGGTAGGTGGTGGATGGATGGGCTAGTGGGTGATGCTGGTATGTGGGTGATGGATGTAGGTGGCCGTGATGGATGGGTACGGTGGGTGGATGGATGGGTAGGTGGGTGATGTGTTAGGGGTGATGGATGGTAGGGTGGGTGGTGATGGATGGGTAGGTGTCGGATGGATGTAGGTGGGTGGAGTGGATGCTAGGTGGTGATGGATGGGTAGTGGGTGATGGATGGGTAGTGGGTGGGACAGGTAGCTGGGTGGGTGGTGTGGTGGGTGAATAGTAGCTGGTGGATGGTTGGATGGTGTTCTGGAATCTCACAGGTACTGGGATTCTGGAACCTTCCATAGGCTCACACTCCTGGCCTACCTCCAGCCACAGTCTCACACCCGTCCAGACTCAGACACACAGACACCAGCCCAGGCCGGTGCCCGGTGCCCAGTGTCTCCCAGGGGCTGAAACACCCGATCTCCCCTGGGAGCCTCCCCTCCCCTGCCAGGGCCCCAGACTCAGTGCTCCTCCCCCGGGCTCCTCCCAGGGGCCCCCTCTCCCCCGCCCTGTCCCTGGCTGTCTAGGGGCCCACAGCACCCCGCCCGTCCCTATCCCGGGGCCCTCCTGCTCCGCTCGCTGGCTGCTGCACTAGGTTTCTGCGCCTGTGCCGCCCTTCCCCCGCACACACGCGTTGGGGTGCCGCTCTGGGGTCCCAGCTCTGGGGCCGTGTGCGGGCTGCTCATCCACCTCTGCACCCGGCGGCCTGTGGGCCGCGTCCCTGGACCCAGTGGCCCAGTGTCGGGGCCACAGGGGCTGGGCCCCCGCGGTGTGCACCCAGCCCGGCCCAGGCCGCCTCCTGCAGCTGGCTCTGACGGGGACACGCCCCTGGGGGTCCCCTCAGTCGGAAATGGAGAGACCCCACACCGCAGGGGAGCTGCTGGGAACACTCCAGCCTCCAAGACTAGAACCGGCCAGCGAGGGGGCACAGCCCCGGCCCCTGCGGGAGATAGCGGGCTTCCTACCGGGTCTCCGGGGACGCCAGTGGGGCCTTCTCGTCCCTGGTCGCCTTGGGGTCCAGCTTCACCCTGGGGGGAGACGGGCCTGTGAGTGTGGGGGTCGGGCCGTGTGGCCGGTGTGCTCTGGGCTCCGAGCGGGGCGGGGCCGAGTCTGAGCAGACGCGTCTGCCTGCCCCCACTCTGGTCCAGCACAACTTCCCCAGGGAGTGCACGGCCGGAGATAGCCCAGCTCCGCCTCTGCACCCTGGGCAGACGGACGGGCAGGCCCTGGTGCCGCCAGCGTCTGTCCCCGTGGCTGGGCGTCCCCGCCGGGACTTCCCAACCGAACCGTCCTGCGGTCTGTGGTCCCACACCCTCACCCTCGGAATCTCAACAAGGAAAGTCGTTCCGAGGAAGAGCCCGGCGCCGTCTGCAGAAACGGGCACAGAGCTGTCGGACGGGACGGTGGCGTTTAGAAAAGCCCGGTGTGATGGCGGAGGGTGCCCATCTAGCGAACCGCGTCACCCCCGGACGCCTGCAGCCGGGTGTCCTGCTGGGACGGTGGGGGCCTGGACGCGCGGCGGCCACGGTCGGGGTCCCACGGCCCCGAGACCTCGGTGCTGAGCCCGGTTTACTCACACAGGGGCCGCCAGGCACCAGCCCCTCACGGTGGGTGTGGCGTTTGGGGGTGTTTCCCCGTGTGGTGCTGGCTGTCAGGCCGGGGGTCCTGTCCCTGTGACCCCGTGGACCCTGCTCTCCAGGACCGGCCCCTGGAGCTGACCCGCCGGCCCCAGGCCAGAGGCACTGAGGGAACCGCCGCTATTTGGGGAAACGGGGGGGGCGGCCAAACCCAGCACCAAAGGGGCTGGTGGCCATGTGTGGTGACTCTGACGGTTGGACCCAGGCCTCGGGGTCTCCCACCCTCCCTGGACAGGGCCCAGCTCCAGGACTCACCGGGTCTCCTCTCGGCCCCCGAGTGCCTGGGGTCCCTCGGGGTCCTCGTTCTCCAGGGCCGCCCTGCGGGGACAGAGTGCAGGGGCAGCTGCGGTTGCCGTGGTACCCACGCCCCAGCAGGGCGCTGGGGGCGTCTCCCACCCTGGCGCATCCCCCCTCAGGCCGGAGCCTCCCAGCTCCCAAACCCCGCCTGCCCCAGACCCTGGTGCACAGTGAGCAGAACGCAACACCCAGGGCCGCCCCTGTCTGTCTCGGGGACGGGGCTGCAGAGCGGCGCAGACTCACCCTCTCTCCGGGGGCGCCGTCGGGTCCTGCGTTCCCCTGGGGTCAGGCGGAAGGAACGGAAGAGTCAGTGTGTGCGTGACCCCTGCCCTCGCCAGGTGCAGGTGCTGGGGGGGGCACTCACCTCGTCACCAGCCTCTCCTTTCTCTCCTGGGGGGCCCGGCTCTCCCGGTTCGCCCTGGGGGGACACAGGGTGGGCATGTCCATGCAGCGGTCTGGCCCCCCCTGGGGCCCGCGTGCCCGGGGGCCGAGCGCATCCTCACCTCGTCTCCAGGCGGCCCCGAGTTCCCGGGTCTCCCGGCCTCGCCGTCGGCTCCGGGCTGGCCCTGCCGAGATCAGAGGTCAAAGGCGCTCGCCCTGGGCTGGCGGGGAGGAACCACCAAGCCCCCGCCCTCGGGCCCAGGAGCCACCGACCTTCTCCCCTTTCAGTCCGAAGGCACCTGCGTCTCCCTTGGGGCCGGGGGGTCCTTGAATGCCCTGTGGGAAGATGGTGCATGACGCTGTTGCCACAGCAACCGCCGGTGGCCACGCAGGGACAGACCCCCATGGCACAGTCCAGGGCAACCCCTTGGAGCGTGAGAGGAAGGACTGGGGCCGAGTCTCGATTCCGAAACCTGTGGTCTTAAAGCACCCGCGAGAGAAAGTGACTCACGTCGAATCCGGCAGAGCCCTTGCAGCCTGGCAGGCCTGGGTACCCCGTCTCCCCCTGTAGAGAGAGAAGGCGGGTCTCGAGCCGGCCGCTCAGCCGTCCTCCCCCAGGAAGCCCCCCAGGCAGACGCTGCTCCGCGCTTACCTGGGCGGCGTGGGGTGCACTGGGACCTGGCTGGGCAGGCGATGCCCGCAGGAGACGCCTCCTGACTGCACCCGGCTGGTCTCCTGGCAGTGAGCGCCCACCCCGAGCCCCCGCCTGACCCCCGCCTGCCCCCGCCGCGTGGCCCAGCGCCCAGCCCCGAGTTACCTTCATGCCGTCCACGCCATCCACGCCGCGCTTGCCCTTCTCGCCCTGCGGGGCGCAAAGGCAGGTCAGGCCGGGCCGGACAGTCGGCCTGGGCCTGGCAGACCCCCCACGCCTGACCTGCCCACTCACCTTGTAGCCCTTGGGTCCCCTGGAGCCCTGTGGAGACAGAAGGGTGAGGGGGGTCCCCGCCTCGCCCCCGGGAAGCCCCGCCCCCGGCACCCCCCCAGGGCCCAGAGACTCTGGGGGGACAGCGGGGCTGGGCCTGTGCTTGGGGTCTCGGTGACATGGTGGCCCCCGCTGGCGGGGAGAGTGACCGGCGTCCCCGGTGTCCTCGCTGCCCGGGGCCGGCGCCTCCTCAGCTGGCAGCTGGGCTCAGGGACCCGCTCCCGGGACCGTCCCGGTCCTCGGACGTGCAGGGGGACGGCAGGGTGGCGCCAGGGCTCCGCCCGGCCACGTCCCCTCCTGGCGAGGACCCTGGGGACGCCGGAGGGGAGGGGCCGTCCCCCTGGCCGCCGTGCTCACCTTCTCCCCGCGGCTCCCCTTCTCTCCCTACGGGCAGATGCAGACGGAGGAGGAAGAGGACAGCGGTTAGCACCGGGCTAGCACCGGGCGGGGAGGAAGGCACAGACCCCGCCCAGCCCCGGGGAGGAGGGACACGCACCTTCATGCCCTGGTACCCGACCGGGCCGAGGTCCCCGGGCCGTCCCTGCAACACAAGAGGGGACGGTGAGACCCAGGGGGGAGGCGGGGGGAAGAGCAGAGCAGCCGGCCAGCCCCACCCTACTCCAGCCCACAGGAGCTCGAGCCCCTGCTGTGGCGCCTCCCAGCAGGAGCTGGGGCAGGGGAGGGGACGGGATGGGCTGGGGCGCAGGGAGGTGGCCGAGCGGCCAAAGCAAGGGCCACGGTTACGGCGACGGTGCCGGATGGGCCCTGGCCACGCCCCGCTGCTGGCAGCGCCTCTCGGAGGTCCGTGGAGGGCTGCAGGGGCTGCCTCGGTGGCCCCCGGGGGGCACCTGTCAGAGGAATGGCTGTGCCCAGCCTCTCCCACCACCAAGGGACAGCCAGCGAGGCTTTGGCACTCAGACACCAGCCATCCTTCCGGAAGGTTCCGCAGTCCAGGTCCCCAGCCCCAGCTGCGCCCCACCCCCAGCAGGCACCGCACTCACGGGTTCTCCAGCTTCTCCCTTCTCTCCGGGGAGCCCGGGCTTGCCGCGTTCTCCCTGCAACACAGAGCGCCATGGTTGGGGGACGTCGCAGGTATTTCTAGATCTCGGGTGCGCAGAGCCGCTACTCGCTCATGAAAACGGTTTTCAGAAGATGTTTCATTCCGGCTTCTGAGTTCCCGGATTGTTACAGCAACTTCCCATCACTCTGGGTCCGTCCCGAGGTCCTGGAGCCCCACCCTCTGAGTCCTCACTGTCCCCAAGCCACCACTGCTCTGCGCCAGGTGGCGGGACCGCGCGGGGCCCACAGCCACCGGCTGACAGGTCTCAGTGGACAGGCAGCGTCCAAGAGGCATCTCCCAGGTTGTCCCTGGTGGCAGCTGATGTAAACTCTCCACCCTCCTGCGTGAGCCGCACCTGGCCCCACCTCTGGTTTCCCACCTCCAACCCGCCCGAGTCCTGGGAGCAGAGCGGGGAGGGGGAGTGGGGGGGGGTCCAGGCAGCACCGCGCGGGAGCCCCACCCCGCAGCAGCCCCACCCCGCAGCAGCCGCACTGGGGCTCTGGCTGCCTGGACGCTCCCCTCAGACGGGCACCTGCTCAGCATGGGATATTGGGGAAACTGAGGCAGGCTGCGGCCTGCACCCCCCGAGCCTGGGTGCAGCTGCAGGGATGACGCCCCAGAAAGACCCACACAGGTGCGGCAGCTCACCTCGTACCCGGGGTCGCCCCGGAGCCCTGGTGGTCCTCTGGCGGGCTGCAAGACACGGGTGGGTCAGCCTAGAGCCCCGCGGAGCTGCGGGCATGGGGTGCACGGGGTGGGGGGCGCACTCACCTGGCACTCGAAGGAACAGCACTGGGGGGAGAGGCACCGGACACAGGTCAGTCACTGAGTCCCAGACTTGCCCGGACGGGACACGTGCCCTGGACACGGACCCAGACCCGGACATGGACACAGACACGGACATGGACACAGACGCGGACATGGACCCAGACCCGGACACGGACACAGACACGAACACAGACCCGGACACGGACACAGACATGAACATGGACACAGACACGGACATGGACATAGACACGGACATGGACATAGACACGGACATGGACACAGACACGGACATAGACACAGACACGGACATGGACCCAGACCTAGAAATGGACACAGACACGGACATGGACATGCCCCAGACCTGGACCCAGACACAGACATGTGCCCTAGACATGGACATGTGCCCTGGACATGGACATGGACACGACACAGACGACGGACATGGACACAGACACGGACATGGACACAGACGCAGACATGGACACAGACACGGACATGGACATAGACACGGACATGGACATAGACACGGACATGGACACAGACACGGACATAGACACAGACACGGACATGGACCCAGACCCAGACATGGACACAGACACGGACATGGACACGCCCCAGACCTGGACCCAGACACAGACATGTGCCCTGGACATGGACATGGACACAGACACGGACATGGACACAGACACGGACATGCGCCCCAGACCCAGACCCGGACACGGACAAGTGTCCTGGACATGGACAGGAGCCACGGACACAGACATGTGCCCAGGACATGCACCCCGACACACGCCCTGGACACACACTCCTGCTCCAGACTTAGACCCAGACCGGGACACGGACACGGACAAGTGTCCTGGACACAGACATGCTCCCGGGACATGGACCCAGACCCTGACACGGACACGGACATGGACCCCCACATCGACATGCACCCAGACCCTGACACCGACACGGACAAGGACATGCACCCTGACATGGACACTGACATGCAACCCGACATGGACACATGCCCCTGACACGACGACTGCACCCTGACACGCGGACATGCACCCTGACACGGACAGGGACATGCACCCTGACACGGACAGGGACATGCACCCGGATACAGACACACGCCCTGGACACGGACAGGGACATGCAACCCAACAGGGACATGCACCCTGACACAGACAGGGACATGCACCCCAACACGGACACACGCCCTGGACACGGACTGGCGTGCGGACCCGCGGGCGGGGGAGGGGCTCTCACCACTTGCTCCACGTTGTTTTTCTGGAAAGCGAACGGGGGGAGACGCGGTCACTCCCCAGGGGCGCGGCACCCGCCACCCCCCTGCACCCCCGCGCTCCGCACCCCCCTCTCTGTCCCCCCCCCCAGCCGCGCTCGCCCGCCCCGCGCCCGCGCTCCGCCCCCCGTCCCCCACATCCTGTCACCC